AATGCTCTGCTCCTCTTTCCTCAAGGAAGGCTACGGCATCGGGGATGACGAATACTCCTGTGCCTACGACGGCTGCCGGCAGCTCATCTGGTATAATGCCAGGAGTAAACCCCATTCCCATCCCTGTTGGAAAGAAGGTAATCTGCTCCATTTCTAGTGCTTATCCCAGCTTGGTTTCTGCCCTGGGTTTTCCCTCTTGCTGGCATCCAGAATACTTAATTTGGTGGTAGGTCTGCACCTACAGACAGCTGCAAAACTGTGTTGAGATGTTCCTTACTGGGTCTACCTTAAGCTGAAACAGCTATTTTAGGAGAGGACAAAAGAATTCTCTCGTTTACAGATCATAGCTAAAGACAGTGGCACTGTCTTACTTGCTTTAAATTCTGAGATATCTACTTGAACAACAGGAAATGTACTTGATCTCAGGTTTGAAATCCTGGTGGGAGTGTATGGGTACGCAGTGCTTGTGTGAACTGTACCACCTTCCCTTCTAATAAAAAAAAAATCGCTCTAAATGAAGCTAAAATTATTATTATTTTTTTTTTTTTTTTTTTAGAGGGGTGGAAACAGTATGTTCAAGGATATTAGAAACTTCTTCAACTTTAGAAAATGCATGTTCTGAAGATACCTGCAATGGGTGTGAAATAGGGAGGGAGGCAAAGGGAGAAAGCTGCCTCGGGCTTTGGATAACACTGCACTACCTTCACGTGTATGTGGTGTTAATGCTCTGGCAACCTAAGATATATTGATTATATTTCCTGTCTTATTTTTCTCTTAATGACTCCCCGTCCCACTGCTCTTTTATGCTTTTTTAGTGAGACAAGTCATAGTGAGATGCAGAACCTTCTAAATAGCTGGAAGTCCTGCTTTCTTTAACACTGCTGAAATCTTTAAATTTCCTTTTGTTTTGCACCTAAGGAGACACGATAGGATTTCTCCTAGACTTGCAAGAAAAGCAAATGATCTTCTATTTAAATGGAAACCAGCTTCCTGCTGAGAAACAAGTATTTTCATCTGCTGTGTAAGTATGTGCTCATTTGTAACCTGTCTGGCTAATAGCTCTAACTGTATGAAAACCTTTATTTGAAACATAAACTGATACTTGCTTGCCATCAATACTGTCACTAAACAGCCTTCCTATTGAAAGCTTGGTAGAAATTGGCAATCAGGATGTCATTTTGTGTGTAGATTTCAGGGCCCTGGAGCTTCCAGGGGGCAATTCAAAAGGTGCTGTCTAGCATCAGACCGGGACTCCACCAAAACAGGCTGAGGTTGTAGCAGAGATGAACAAGGTGCCAGTAGTGCTTGAGGATAATCAGCATTACGGCGCTGATGCCTTTGCTCGTGCCTTTGGGAATGTACGTTTACGTGTTGCTCTAGGAGTACTTAACCCGGCGTATTCTGCAGCTCGGCTCCTCTCTAAGCAACGCTGAAGGAAGTGTCCGTCTGGCTGTGAAGGAGACAGCTGCAGCGAGCTAATCCTGCAGGAAGGCAGAGGGGCAGATGGCCCCAGTGCTCATAGAGCTCGCGGGCCTCGAGTCGTCTCGCACAGGTTGTGCACAACACACACGTGGGCTGCAGCTTCGCTGCCCGCTCCCCACGCTTGTGCCCGGTCAGAGGAAAGAGCGGGAGCAGCGGCCCTGGCAGCTGACAGCGCTCCTCGAAACTCCATTAAACAGCAGACATTTAGAAAAGAAAAATGTTGTTTTGGTTAAATTCCCGTGCTGAAGGAGGGATCTGAGCTGATCACTGTAAAGAGGATCAGGTGATGGGCTCTTGAGATGTATGTATTTGCCCTTAGGGTTCGTGTGACTAACCCTGCTTGCAGAGTGTGCAAACTTCCAATGACTGGCTCGGGAGTAAATTTGGGTAACTTCTGAGAGTGAGCTCACAAGTTAAGCCCTGAACAGAGAATGCACGTACAGCTGAAACAAGAGGTGTTGGTGCTTTCCTCCCATTTATCTGAAAGAAGCTTGTCCCTCTGTTTCAGGGCAAATTTTGATCTGCTAGTAGAAGTGTTGTGTCTGAAAAAGCTCTCTTACTGCTTTAAGTTGCCCTAAAATGCCTGTGGTGTTTTTCCCTTCATCCTGCAGGTCTGGCTTCTTTGCTGCAGCTAGTTTCATGTCCTATCAACAATGTGAGTTCAACTTTGGGGCAAAACCTTTCAAGTACCCACCACCAATCAAATTTAGCACCTTTAATGATTACGCCTTTCTGACGGCAGAAGAGAAAATCATTTTGCCAAGGTAATCCTCCTGTTTGCTTTGAGTGTGTTGGCTTGTTAGAGGAGCAATACGTGGTGTTTACTGCTTGTGTAGCCTAAGGTTATACTAGGCAAAGTTACTGTTGATGGCATCACGCCTCAGGGTTCAGAAGAGGATTGGACCATAGACCCTGGTACAGTATAACTGGGTAGGATGAGATATATGACTGAACTCCATTGAACTCAATTATTGTCTGCAATATTGAAGTAAATTAATTTTGGCTAGTGTTGTGACAGTAAAAATGCTTGTAATGAAAATGCCTTGGAAGAATATTAAGTTAGTCAAGGAAGAGTTGTTTTAATTAAACAGCATCTCTGCTTTAAAGTTGACTTAATTTGTCATGCAGTTTTGAGGCTGGCAAAGCAGAGGCGTGGAGCGATTGTAAAACGTAACTTTTCGGCAGCCACCCTTGGATCTGCTGAATGGCACGTTGGCAGAGCTTGAGGCTCGTGATGCTGAACTTACCCCACATGCAAAATCAAATCCAACACACCGGACCATTTTGCAGTTCTTTATAAGCACTTGATTTACACCTGCATGTAACTGAAGGTGCTATGAGTGAGGGCTTTTCTTTGCACGGCAGACCTCACTTAATCCCTTAAGATGATCAGCTAGTTATCATCCTTGGTCAACCCTTTGCTCGGATAGCGTTCTTCTGTCTTAGTTCCAGGCTGCTGAGGGGTTTTTAGCCATGTGCTAAAAAGAGCTGGTGATCAGACGTGATTGGTATTGACCTCCCTCTGGCCCTAAACGTGCTGCATTTAGGCAGTAGCTGTGAGAGCTCCTCTCTGTGGCAAAAGCTGCAGAGAATCCTGAAGACCTTGGCTTCCTGCTGGTGTCTTACTAGAGAAATGTTGTCCTCCTGGGTTGGAGTCTGTTTAATATGTGTGATAACATTGAAAGAGTCCATTCCAAGCACAGTACTGTTCCTCCATGTGAATGCCAAGATCATCCCTGCCCATTCAATCCAAACTGAAACTAGAAACTAAATTAATAGTTGCCTTTACCTTAAAGGTGACAGGGAAGAAAATGCCCTAAGAGGATCCTGAGTATCTATTGCAACAGGTACAATAGGCTTCTGCAGAGTGGTGCTGAATATACCTCGGTGTCAAGATGTTGCCTGGCCTAGACAATTCAACCTAATGCTAAACATTTTAGCATGTTTGCTTTATATTTGAAACATGATATTGCAACTACTTTGGGATTCCTACCCATTTCTGCTAGTATCACTTTGTGGTCGGAAATATCACATGGTCTATTTCCTCCTTGAACTCATTTCACTAAAAACTATATGCTTCATGATGCAAGCTATTATTGACCAGGAAATCAAAGATGGTTCTGAACATCTTTGCATGTTTTAAGCTTTTTTTATTATTATTTTTGCAGCGTATTTTTAATTGATGTTTGTCAATGCTCCTGCCAAGTGGCAGACGTGAGTGCTGCGCTGGCCTAATGCAGTGCTCTTCAGTAGGTGCAAATCTCTGGTTTTGAGGAGGATGTAAAAGTAGGGCTGGTCTCCTTGTTTCTTTTCAGGCACCGACGCCTGGCTTTGCTCAAGCAAGTGAGTATCCGAGAGAACTGCTGCACCCTTTGCTGTGATGAGATAGCAGACACAGAACTCAGGCCGTGTGGACACAGGTAAGTTTAAAATAAATTTTAAAAATAATAATAAAAAGGAGGCAGAATATGCTTGCTTGACATTGAGTTTAAGCAAGTCCACGTATAGCCCTTGCTTATTTTGAGTGACTGAAGCCTATGCAAAATGCTCCATCTTAAGGATGTGCAAATACAGGCTAGATGTGGTAGTTCCATGATTTTTCCCCCCTACATCACCCTGAGCAAAATTCATCTCTAGGCATGTTTCAGTGTTTGGGGCAAGGGAGACATGGAGAGAAAAGAGTATTGTGGCAAAGTGTGCCTGCTCTCCCTGGGCTTCTGGGACTGATTCCTTGGTCCCCAGGGTGTTGCTGATGAATGCTGGCTTGGTAAGTGTGCTGTTAAATCCAGAACACGCGAGAACAGCAAAAAAAAAAAAATATTCAATGAATAGGTTATCTCAAGATTTCCCTGAGAAGCAGGAAGGGAGCACCAACAGAAGTGATATTATGGTACCTCTATCTGCACTGAAGCAGCCTGCTAGGAAATTAAGTCCAGTTCATTAGTGTTTAACAGCACTAATGGAAGCAGGCTGAATAAATTGCGTAGTACCTACATTTAAAAAAAAAATTTTTTTTAGTTTAAGCTCAGGGTTTAACTGCCTTCTTTTCTTTTTTTTTCCTCTTCTCATTCAGTGACCTGTGCATGGGGTGTGCCTTGCAACTGGAGACCTGCCCGTTGTGCCGCCAGGAAATACAGACCAGAGTCAGACAGATCTCTCACATTTCATGACACACGTGGAGAAGCACCACAGACTTATTTTAACAAACTCCATCTAATACCGAAGGGGGAAAAAAAATCTCTTAAGCAATCTTTACGCACATAGAGCCATAGCCACGGCCAGATTCCATCCTAAAGTATAGTCTGTTCATCTTAAAAATGAAGTCTTAATAGGCTGTTTCAAGTTGCCAGCAAAAGGAGCTGGTTTCGGTGTAAGGAAAGCTGGTAGCTCAGCGTGTTATGGCTATTGGTTATCTCCAAGCAAGACCACGGGAGAGTGTCTATCTTTTCTTCCCTCTTCTCGCCTGTCGCAAGTGCTGAAAAGAATTTGCACTGGAAGTACACATACACACACACACACAGACACACACACACACACAAAAAAAAAAGGAAAAGAAATATGTCCTAGAACAGGGCCCTGCTGTCTTGTGCTCAGTAGTCTCTGTTGGTATGCTGAAAAGGAAAGCCAATGTTTCTTGTTTTATGTAGCCTCCTGCTGGTCAGAGACTCTATTTCCAGACAGTGGGTCTGAAACTGCTCTGACTTCATCTTACACAAACTGATTTGAAAAGACAGTGTGAGGACTGTGGAAAAACTCACTTATTTTTTATTTTTTAATTGATTCCAAAGAATGTTCTGATTTTTTTTAAAACGTTAAAAGATGGGCGTTATTTTCAAGTGCATAATGTTTCTGATGCTTTTAACTTCAGTACCCACATTATTTTTTTGTGAGGATATAATTTTCAGGAGGTATTCTTAACTAATTGTAATGCTGGACTGGAATTAATTTGATATTCTGGATCTTTTTTAAGGTATCATCGATCATCTTTTTTTAATCACTATTGTTTTTGGAAGCTATGTTCACTTTGAAAATATTGAGCTATCTTAAAAGATTAAAGAATTCTCAACCAGTTTATTTAAAAGCAGAGCGGGGAGGTAGGAAAAGTTACTGGGTAGCGAGTCCAGCCTCTTCCGTAGCTCTGAAAATGTGCACCTTGCTCGCCACGCGCCAGTCCCGCTCTGAGCAGGTTTGGGGCCACAATCTGTGCGTTTGGGTAAGGATTGTTTAGTGGGAATCTCCGCTCTGCTTTAATGAGACATTTGTGACGTTCGTTTGTTAAGCATGTGTCTGAGCAGGCAGCTTGGACTGTTTCACTAGGTTTCTGCCAGGAACGGGGTTCACATCTGGTGTCAATTATAGCAGTGGTGCTAAAGCCTGAGGAGTTGTGCTTATTTTGCACTGACTGAGGATATGACTTGGTCTCCTCCAAGATTCTTTTAAGTTTTCTCTTTCTTTTTCTAAGTATCTGGTGCACAGTAGAACTCTGCTACTACGCACAGTGTGTGCCAAAAACCTCCCCCTTCTTGGCAGCGATTCAGCAGCAGAGGCCAATGCAGTGAGTTCTCAGGCCCTGATTATTATTATGATGATGATGAATTGTCTTTACTGGGCCAGTAAAGTATCTCATATTAGCCCGGGAGTGCCGGGGATGGAGCAGGGCCAGGAGAGTTCTCTAAATCCTTTCCATGATGACTTTTTTTTCCCCCTCCCCCCAACTACGGCCCGACTCGGAAATGGGCTCGGATCTTCGTTTTTTGGCCCAAAAATGAGAATTCTCCTCCTGCCCCGGTGCCTGCCTTGAGGAAAGTCAGAAAGGCAAATCCATGCCCCAAGGCTTTAATGTCCGCCCTGGCTCTGCGGCGGGGGCCCCGGGTGCCGCACTGTGTGTCCGTGCAAACGTGGCCATTTCTATACATTTCTATACATTTCTATATATGTTTTTATCCCCGTTCCTCCTCGGGCGCGCTCTGCTGCACCGCCTCCCCCTCACGGCCCGCCCGCTCTCCCATTGGCCCTTCCCGGCGGGGGGCGGGCCCTCTGCCACCGCCTCCGCTCTGTGGTTGGCTGTGGCGGGGCCGGAAGGAAGCGTTTCCCGGGTGACGGCCGCGGGCTGGCGGGGGTAACGCACGCGATGGGGGGGGGGGCGGGGCCCGGACGCCTGGGCCCCTTTTGGAGGTCAGGGCGGGGGAGTGAAACGGGGCGCGCGTCTGGGTCCTGTTGGAGGAGGGAGGATGGGGGGCCGGGATCCCACCCGGGCGCCTGGGCCCCGTTGTTCGAGGGAGGGGTGTGAGGGCCGCGTGCGTGGGCCCCGAGGCGGCCCCGTGGCCTGGGTGGGAGCGGGCGCTGGGGCCGGGATGGGAGAGGGGCGGTGAGCTGGGGCGGGCAGGGCCAGGCCCGGCCCGAGGTGGTGCTGGTGGGGGGCACGGTCTGCTGTTGCGGCCGTGCGGGGGGCCTGGCCCGAGCCCGCGCCGTGCTCCGGGTTACAAATACACGCGTGGCTGCTGCCCTGAGCCCTCGCAGCGGCACCACGGGGCCCTCAGGGTGGCTTCTGCCTCCCGTGTCGTCCGTTAATACCTTACCCTGAAAGGAAAAACCACCCCAATAACAGCAACGTGGTGCTTTTTCTTTTCTCTAGTTCACTAGGTTATGCAGTGAAAATGGAGGCCTCAGAGGAGGAGAACTTGGATGTCGCCGTGTAAGTAGATTTTTCCCCGTGTCAGGCTTAAATAAACTCTTTCCTGCTGAAAGTATCTTAACGGGAGCATAATTACAGCAGTGGAGGTGGACCACACTGATTAATGGGTGCTGCTGAGGAGAACCAGGGCATGGAACAAAGCCCCAGCTCTGAACTGCAGCTCAGAGTCTAGATGAAGTGAAGCTAAATAGAGTGTCACACACATAATACCACCACGCAGCCCTAGCTGAACTCAGATTCTCTCTCCTTGCCAACGGGTTATAGATTTTAAGGCGAGAATAGCTTTGCGGGCTTGAACGTGCTCCTTCTGCACACGTGAGTTATTTTACAGGCAGCCTCCAGCCGTTTCTTTTGCTCTAAGACCCTGCTGCCCCCCACATTTTTTGGGCTCTTTTAAAGCCTTTGGCCAGGGTGGCAGAGGGGCCGTGAGCCCTGTAGTTCTGGGGTGGTTCCTTGTGCTCTGGAGGCTGAAAGGCCACGTGTGCCCTCGAGGGGCTTCTGCGGCCCGGGTGACAGTGGCCTAGACCTCGTGAGGCAGCAGATGCCTTCAGCTACCATGGAATTTGCCAGAGCCTGTTTGCACACGTTGGTACGGAGAGATGGGCTTGCTGCTATTTTGAAGCAATTACTGTTATTTGTTTTGTAGGCTTAAACTCTGCTTTAATAGTTAAAACTTGCTGTCGCTGTTAGAATAAGTTATAAAAACTAGAAGAATTTCTCTAATTCCTTTTTTTTTTTTTTTTTCAGTTGTTTGGTAGAGATGCTTGTTAAAAGTAAACTGATAAATAAACAGAAATTATCCGAGGCCAATTCTCCTGGCTTTGTATGCAAATATCAAGGGACAAAGCCTGCTGCCTGCAGCATAACTATGGCCTTTGGGATACGTGGGATATGAGCCCCTTCGGCTCCCGGGCATGAGCTCCCTTCCTTGTGGCCTTCTGCCCCGTGCTGGGGCAGCCTGTCCTTTCCCTCGCGTCTTAGTCGCCCTCCTAGGCTTAACGAATGTAGGAGTTGTTGGAGCAGCCCTTGACTCTCAATCATCTCCCGTAATCAGATGCCTTCACCTTTTTATCCTGTCAAAATGAGTGCTGTGACCAAGCATGTGTCGCTGGTTTAAGTTCACTGGACTCTTCCTTAAGAGCAAAGTGGGTTTTTTTGTTGTTGTTTTTTTGTTGTTGTTGTTTTTCTTTTTTTTTTTTTTTGCAGCTAGAATTGAATTTAAATGGCACTTTCACTGACTGAGGCTAACTTTTCTCTTAAAAAAAAAAAAAAAAAAGTCCTATTGAATTTGCATCCTTGATACATAAGAAAAGCCTGTCTCATGTGCTGGGCTATGTAGGAGAGAGGCGTTACGGGCACAAAGTGGTCTTGCAGGGCCAAATATTTCCAAATACTCCCTCGATGGCCATAACAAGGTCCGTGTCCTCCGTGCAGAGTTGTGCAGGGTCCGGAGGGAAAGGAAGTTTGTTGTAGACCTGTAAGTTGTCGGTTTGTAGTGTGGAAAGTGCTCGTTTGCAGCTCTAATGACACTCTTCACGTCACCTCAGCAACAGCCCGGGAGTTACCTTTAGTGCCAGTAAAGCAGCACTTCTTCTGCGTAAGGTACCTACCAATGAATGTACAGCAGAGCCCTGATGAGAATCCCCATTAAAGAGCCTTATTTTCAGTTATGTTTTCTGTGTTTTGGGCTGTTTTGTAGGTCGAAGCTGGGAAATCATTCACTTACCGTGCAATTGCTTGGCTTGCTTTAGCTTAGGCTTTTCACCTCGTTTTCTAGTTTTTCTTCCCCTCTGAGTGCAGCGTACACATACGTGATAACGTCTTCCTTTGCTTTCAGCTCCTCCCCTTCTGATGCCGAGTTTGATGCAGTCATTGGGTATCTAGAGGATATTATAATGGGTAAGCTCTGCACGGAGTTAGGGGTGACAAGTATTGAAAAGAATCCAAGCCGCTCTTCTTGCTGGATGTGCAGAGTCAAAAAAAGCCTTTTTGGCTTCGTAGCAGCTCTCCTTCCTTCATTCTCGTGATCGCTGACCTGACACTGTAGTAAGACTGTGCATTAAAGTCGTCTGTGCTCCCTTCTCCTAACAGCATGGTGTGAGCCCCAAAAATGTGTCCTTGCACCACTGCAGTCCACTGTTAGGCTTTAGAAAGCTCAGGCTGGCACATTTTAACACTGTGCCTATGTACATTTTATGTTTATACTCGTTCTGTTGAACTTAGCGGTGAATTTAATAGTTACCTTGTTGTTTGTCATTTTTCTTTCCTTCCATGAGCAGAAAAGATTCTTTGGCAAATTAGATCAAAATTCAGCTTGTTGTAGTGTTATATTGAGTTGTAGCCTTTTTATGGAACATGAAGGGGGAGGGCTTTGCTGTTAATATTGAGCACAAGAGAAACTTTTGAGTAATGACCGTGGCCCTCCTTTAGGCTTTTCACAGGGCTTTAAATGTTTGGCAAGTGCCTCCTGTCCTATTTTGAACACACAGCAGCCTGATGAGCTGCTCCCCTGTTGATTCAGCTCCCTGAACCAACGCAAAGCTTGGGCTTGTGCCGTGCTTGGTCGCATGCCCTGCTTTTGTCTTCTCCCAGATGGGTCCGAAATGACAGCTCAGCAACAGTCGCTGTCCTGTTAGGATTGCCACGACACCTGTATGGGCTCCATGGCTGTGGCGAGGGGGCAGAGCTCTGGTCAATGTGGTTTCTGTGTTGCAATAAGAATGACTGGTCTCATAACCAAATGATGTGTGTTTATTGTGGCCCAGATGATGATTTCCAGCTAATACAGAGGGGTTTTATGGAGAAGCACTACCAGGAGTTTGATGACTCAGAAGAAAACAAGCTCATCTATACTTCTATTTTTAATGAATACGTAAGATATTTTTCCTGTTCTTCACGTGTCTTGCTTTGTTATTTTTATTGTTACCCTATGTGCCCTCCGTTATAAAATTACTGATTTCCGTGGAATGAAGCTAATGTTTCCACTCTCTTCTTTTGATGCATAGCCGTGACCTGTGAGCAGTAAAGAGGTTTTCTCAACTTCCAGGTTCCACTTATGTTTTTTCCACTTGAAAACTTTTACAGGTGTTTTGAACCTTATATAATCCAGTTGAAGAGGATTTTACCCTAATTTTGTAGCAAGTGGCATATTACAGCCGTATTATTTAGTGCTTAGCGATGTCTTTGTACAAGGCAGCTTCCTCCTTACCTTGAACCTCTTTCATAGCCCTCTTTGCACAATTATGAAACCATCTCAGCCTACCAATCAATACCAGAAAATGCATTTAAACTTTCTTGTTAGTGGAAGCGAACAGATTTGTTTTCACACCTAGTCCTAAGGAAAATGCCCCGCTGCAGCTTGTCGGTGACTATGTGAACATTTGAGTTATCATTGCCTAGCTCAGGGGTCTGCAGGATTATTTACCTGGTGAAGATAATACTGCGGAGGCTAAGACATCGGTGTAAGGAAATTCCAGTGTCTTGATATCTGCAAAATAAGGTTTATTGTGATGCTGTGTGTTTTCCCTTTTAGATCTGTCTAGTAGAGAAATACATTGAAGAAAAGCTGCTTGATCGGATTCCTGGTTTTAATATGACTGCGTTCACAATGTCATTGCAGTAAGTTGTTGCCTTTGGTTTTTATAGGGGGAGGAACATCTTGTGCTTTTCTCATTTGTCTGACTTAAAATAAAACTCAAGTTTGAGGGTCCCTTCTGGAGGAGATTCCCATTTAATAGTAGTAATTTAAAAAATGCTGCCACCTGAGTTTCTCACCTTCCTCATGTCCTGCTACTCTAAATTTCTAAACTACTATGCTGAAATATGTTGGGTAGTAATGAACACAGATATCACAATGGGAACATTGTTTTATTGTTGTTGTTATTATTATCGTTATCGCCTTTTTTTTTATCACCTTGGCTTTTGAAGCCAGGCCCTTGAGTGAGAAACTGGGCTCATTAGGCAATTTCTCTCTTTCAGGCTCTGTGTTGGATATTCTGTATCGTGGGAGTCTTTCAGGAATTGTGAATAAATGCCTTTTATCACAAATTTTATGGAAAGCATTTAGAGAAAAGCTTGGTGTGTCTTAGATTTATATGTATGGTCATCTTTACCTTAACTGACTTCTTGCAAGAATTCAGTTTTAAAAGATGATTTTTTTTGCTTTGATTTGAATATCAAGTTTAATTGGGAAGTGAATCTCTTAAATAAAACTCTGGAAAAATTCTGTGAAAGCGTAGTAGTATATTTAGAAGATACACTGCTTAAGGTAAAGCTCCTTTTGATAGGAACTAAATAAGTAAATGAAAACAAAATTGATGGGCAGGAAAGATTAAGTGAGTTGCTGAAATAGTCAGTGTGGCATGTGGAGGAGCACAGATTTTTTCTTCTAAAATTTTTTTTTTAACTGAAGTCTTACCAAATATCATGCTGTGCCTTTTCCCAGGATCTGTCACCTTCTGAAGTTTAGGTCTTACCCTGAGCTCTGTTCTTAAGGGAAGGGAATCTCCAATCTTCCAGCCCCTTCTCTAAGAGGGAAAATCCATTTATTTCATATTCTTTAGCGTGTAGCTCTTTGGTTGCTCCGTTCCCTTTCCTGTAGTTGATGCACAGTTTTACTGTAAGCGTAGTGTAAGCTGGAGTGTATTTGTAAGGTTGTAAAGCACTAGCAAAGTAGTTTAATGGCGTGTTTGTGTGTATCCTGAAATCCTCGGTTTCCCATTTCAGAGTGGCACTCGATGCTTTAGATACCCAGATGGAAGTGTTTCCTCAGTAGGAACGATTTCTCCACCTTGCATCTTAACTGCTAAGCCTGAAAATAGGCTAAGTTGTTAAAAAGCGAGGTGGCCTTTGCTGTCCCAGAGCAGCACTGTGCAGCTTGTCCAAGCGAATTAAGGGTAGCGGGTGGATGTACGAAGTAGCAGCCCTGGAGATGCCTTCATCAAGTGTGCAAGGTGCAAGGCTGCCGTAGTTGCGTGCTGGAAACGTCCTCCCCATGCAAATGTGCATCTGTTCGACTGGCAGCTCCCGCCACACTTTCCTCCTGTTTTACTCTTTTGCAGCTAATGTGCCAACATAGTTAGCAGTTCTCATTCAATTAAATGTTATTGGGGCCTGGTGTGACCTGAGAATTTTCAAAGACTGTGAATCTGCTCTGGGAAAGGGAAAAACCAGCAGCAGCCTGAACCCCCTTTTTATTTATTTTTTTGCTCAGATCTTGAAAACCAGACATCTGCTTTATCCTTACGTGTTTTTGTGACACTCTGTAAAAAAAGAGATAGGTTTCTACCTACCTCTTTAACCTTCGCAGGAGAGCTCTAGGGTATTTGGTCTATTCCCAAGGCTTAGAAGCACACAAGCCTTTTATTCCCACTTTATTTCACCTCTCAGCTGCAGGTTTTTTTGCCTTATATGTGCAGATATGGACATATCTACTTGAAATCTGATTGAATAACTTCATTAATAGCAGTTCTTGAAGCTGTCAAAGGACTTGAGGCAACTTTTTATTATTTCCATACTTTGGGATAACTAAAAGGCTAGTTGACTTTTCCTTCTGTGGACTTGCAAGTCATGTTCTTTGTTTTTCAAGGATTCATGTAATACTTCTACATCTTGGATTTAATAAAATCATATAAAAACAAATTAATGTACTCAAATTGCCAATACTGCAAGGTAATATTTTGCTCTGTTAGGCTTTTAATAACATTATTGTTTTAATCTTGATATTGTTCAACTTGTCCTCAGGTTTTGACCTCTTACCATTCTGAAATGAGTTTGTTGGCCACACAATTTTCTAATTCTTAAACTTCTTCTCTTTGTAGACAGCACAAAGATGAAATGGCGGGTGATATATTTGATATGCTTCTCACATTTACTGATTTCCTGGCTTTTAAAGAAATGTTCTTGGATTACAGAGCTGTAAGTATATCGCATTGTTTTGTTTCCATCACGCAGTGGTGGCAGGTTTTATACAGCTCTGCATGAGAGTACCAAAGGCAATATTACTGCCATAGGTAAGGGTGTTTTTTCCAGAGCTGTACCAGATCAAAAGGAAAATAATTAAGTGGCTGTCTTGGCAAACATTTAATAATATGTAGAATGCCTGAATGAAGTGCATGCGCAGTGCACTGCTTTAGCTCACACTTGCTTTCTGCATCTTGGAGTGTCAGTTTTTTCTCAAACCATCTTTTTAAGCTTTATCTACTTTTTTTTTTTTCTCTCTGTCCACTTGGAGCAACAAAATAAAAATCAGAGCAGGTTTTTGGGTAGGCTTTTTCCTAAGGAAATGAAATACATGTGAAAATTTAAAAGTCTCTCCCTTTGAGTTCTGCGACAACAGGAGGCGAGTAGGGAAGGGCACAGCTCGTATCTTAGCAGCAGGAACAATTTAACAATTTCATTTGGGGTTTGCACCTGCAGAGTTGCCAACTGTCTCAGTTTCGATAGGAAAACCCATAGAAACTTGATTTTGGTAGTTCCTTGAGCACAGGAGGTAGGAGATGGCTGCACGCACTCTTTCTTTGTGCATCCCCTTGCACTTTATGTTTGGGTGGGCCTGTTAGCTGGACTGTCTTGTCCACATGTAAGCAGGCGACACTGATGTCACCTGGATGTGTAGCTGGCGCAGTGTCAGCAGAGAGAAAATATCTCCAAATCTCTCTTGGATGTCTGGATTCACCTATTCCTATTCATGCTGAAGAGGAAGAAACAAATGCTCAGCGAGGGATTTTTTCATGTCTCAGAGCAACCTGGGTATAGACAGATGCTTAGGGCAATGGGTAAGGGTTTTTTTTTCAGTCTGATTTAATAAGCATAATATCAATTGCTTGTTTCATCTTCTGAACTTTGCTTATTCCAAAATAGCACTTAAAATCGAGGATTTCTTTTTTTCTCACTTTTTTTTTTCTAGGAAAAAGAAGGTCGAAGTCTGGATTTAAGCAGTGGGTTAGTGGTGACATCCTTAAACAAGTCATCGATATCTTCCTCCTAGAGGGGTTTAGGCACTAGCTTCCCTCTCCGGACGAGTGCTCTGCCTCCCATTTGGATGTTAAAACACTAAAGGTCATGAGAATCAAGGTGCTTTTACGTGATGAAAACTGACTCCTTTCCCAGACTATGCCTTCAAAGGCCCAATCCTAGAAACCTCTGTTTATGAATTCCAGATGGTATTCGGGGACTACAGAAGAAGCTCTACGAGAATAACAGTTTTTAATAAATGCATTCCACCTATACACCAGGCAAAGTGTTACGCGTGCCGAGAAGCCTGGCATGTTCAGAAGGAGGTAAATAGGACTAATGTGTGTTTTTTGGGGTGTCATTGTAGCTATCTCTAAAGCGTAATGCTTTTCAGAACCAAGAAAGGAGTAAAAAGGGCATGTGTCCATCCTGCTCCGGGAAGTATAGGTGCAAACACAACCTCCGAGTCTCCCTCCCTCATCTGTTTTTGTTCCTTTTTTTATTCTTTTTTTTGTACTTTTCACAGTATTGTGATCTGAAATGATTCAGCTCTCTGAAGGAAGACTGTGTTTTAACCTGGACATGTTCTAGCGTGAGACTGCCGCTCGGTTCTTTGGTGACTGATATGTTCGTGTGTAATTCTGTCTGCCTTTGGCTTTTTCACGTGCCATCCTTAATGCACAAAGTTCTCCCATTCAATTTTTTCAGCCCGAGCTAAGAAACATTGCAAAAATAGCCATAATAAACCTAAATCTTGCCCCTAGAATGCATTTTCTTACCTCCTTTTCTGCAGTGGTGTATCTGCACCATTTCTAATAACAAAGAGGGACAGTAAATCTGTCACGAGCGTGTTTACTGCGTGCCCATGTCATGCACTAATTCACATGCGAATTAAAATGCAAGTGTTTGCTAAATTAATGCTTAGGCTGCTGGCAACACCAGTCCTGCAATGCCTTTTTCAACGTGCGTGGAAAAAGAGCTGAGTTGCTTGCTGGTAGGGCTGTAGCCACAAGCTTTCGACTGTCACAGAGCCCCAGATCTGTCGACAGTTGGAATTAACACTTGTTTGGAGGTGGGATTGCAGCCTGTTTGGAGCTGCAGCGGTGCTCTGTTCTTGGGCTCCTCAGACACGTTAATTGGCTGTCTCTGGATGTGCTCAAGCAGCGTGAGCTTAAGAGCAGCTTGGGACTTGTGCTCCTGGTCCTGGAGGAGGAGCTCTGCACAGCCCCTCTCTGCCCCGTCCGCCCAGGGTTTGTGCAGCCCAGGGAGATGCCCTTTGGCAGCGATGCAGCTGGGGATCGGGGACCGTCACCCTGCAAGAACCCGACCTCGAGAGAGCAAAGCCACCGCCCGGCTGTGGGTTTGTGCTCGTACTGGGGACTCGTTCACTGGGGTGAATGAGCTGAAATCCTATCCGTGATGACTTCGGTCACTGATTTCCAAAGCGTTACAGTTTTGTGCTGCAACTGAAATAGGGGTTTTTTTTTCATGCTAGTGAAGCCATGCAAAAATAAGCAATAAATATGGCAAAAATAAGACGTATTTACTACCAGATTAAAGTTACAGAGTTGTGGTGAGATGATAATGAGTTGTAGACACAGACTAACAGCGCTAAGGAAAGCGGATTAACCTATTAACCTGACATTTTGACCATCTCTGTACCAAATTTATGAATGTAGCACTGCTCAAAAAACCTCACTAGGTGCCCAGTGTGTTTTGCTGATGATGCTGCAGGCTTCTGGCTGGAATTGTTCTGGTGTGTTGAAATCTCCAGATCTGAACACATATACATGATCCTCTTAAAAATATGTTAACTCCTCCAGGTGTTTTTGCTTAGAAATCCTTGTGATTTGATGTGTTTTGATCAAAAGCAGTTCTGTATGTCTCATCAGGATTTACAGGTCTTTACACAGGTTTTCACAGATTCTGCAATAAATAAGAACATTTCCCTGGAGTGCAGATGGCTGCACACTTGTCAGTTCGTGCCCTTAGCAAGCAGAAAGAATATTCCTAATCATCTGTTCCCTGGAGAACAAAATTATGAAAATTGGGTCACAGTTGGGTCGCATTGGGCCACATCTTTAACACGGCCTGACTGCAGTAAAAATGAATTCCTTGGTGGTTATTTTCAGAATGAAATCCTTTTGTATTTGCCGTCACTCCCGGTTTCAGAGCCTGCGAGGCGCCGTTCAGGCTGTATCCCCGTGTGGAGGGAGAACAACGTCGAGGTGTTTGCGCTGTACCAAAGTTTTCGCCGTTTCGCAGATTTGTGGTGCTTCGTTTCTTGCTTTTGATGCGCCTGCTGTGAGCTTTGCTTTCCTGCCTCCCCCAGTTCACCGTTCAGTTCTGTCAGGTTAATTTATTATTATTGCATAAGGCAATGTTAAGTAACGTGTTGAAGTAGTTTAGTTGCAGGAAGATAGCGTAAATCCATGGATTTGCACAACCTTCACACAGACACACGTGTAGTCGGGTGAGTGATAATGCCCGTTGGTGCAGAAACGCTTTCTGGGGAGGAAACTCCTTTTCCACAGCAATTTTAGGTCAGTCTTTTCCCTGCTGGAATTGGGAGCCGAGCCGCGCGGCTCGGGACGCAATCCCAGCGCATCCCTCCTGTTCCCGCACCGCGCTCGCCAACGCGCCGCCTCTTCTAGTCGTGCTTTTGGTGTGCTCTGGGGTCCAGCGTTTCTGTAACAATTTCTGCTCTAGAGGGTCTTTTATAAGAAATTAAATTTCTATATATTGTGGACTCCGTGTTTGCAAGTCTGATTTCCCTTTCTATAGCTTTATTTTTGTCACAAGAATCCACAGAGGCTGATTTCCTTACTGTTATAGAAATATAGAAATACTTATTTTTATATTTCTTGAAATGTTACCCGTCACTTAGCTTTCTTCCAAAGTAAATAAAGCTAAATCTGCCTGAGTGTGATGCAGTTTGTGCAATCCCTTTAAAATTAAATTAAGATGAATTTCTGGGGCCTCCCTCTCAAGACGAGTTTTAGGGTTTTTCCAGTGCAGCGTTTAATGCAACTTTGGACTATGTTAACATTCCTGTGTAGGAGGATCTGTAAATAAGCTAAGTGTATGTAATGTATAACCTTTGTCTGATAGACGTAACGTGATAAAGCAAACGCTGAAAGGGAAATCGTGGCCACGTGGACTTGGTGGCTTTAAGGGCTTTGAGAGCCTTCGGGGCTGCACAAGGGAGGACACCGAATCCTTTGCCCATCTCTATACATGTGTGTGTGAGTAGATATCTCTAAAGCAGAGTGATAAGAACAATATGGACTTGGGGCCAGATTTTAATGCCCTTGTGCGGTGGGAAGGGGTAGTTTCTTTGGCCAGTGAAATCTCTGCCCCCTCCTTGGCTTTGTGGCTCGCTATACATGCACTCTGGGATCTGACAGAAATTGCAATCTGCAATAAACTCTGCAGGATTTTATGGAAAACAACTTCTGGACACACTCAAGTGTTGAATTTTGGAAGATTTTTATTTAAAACATAAAGTGCTTTTTTTTTTTTTTTTTTTTGATATCAGTACACTAGCAGTTTTGACTTGTCCCACTTAGCCTTCATCCTCCAGCTCTGCCCCCGTTTACCTCTTGAGTTAATTACCGCTGTTTACTCCGTAGCTGTTAATGACCCAGGGACAGGCACTTGGGCTGGGGTTTAGTGAAGTTTAGTGCNTTTTTTTTTTTTTTTTTTGGATATCAGTACACTAGCAGTTTAGACTTGTCCCACTTAGCCTTCATCCTCCAGCTCTGCCTCCGTTTACCTCTTGAGTTAATTACCGCTGTTTACTCCGTAGCTGTTAATGACCCAGGGACAGGCACTTGGGCTGGGGTTTAGTGAAGTTTAGTGCTGCTGATAGGTGCTGGGTTAGGTCTGCTCAGCTGAGCTGCTCTGGCCAGGCCCGGGCTCCCCGGGGAGCTGGGAGGAGCAGAGGGAGGCTCAAGGACAGGCAGGAGGTTTGGTCTCCAGCCCGTGCTGGGTCTCGGGCCGAGGCCAGCCCTGGCTGTGGTGGGTTTGTGCTGCGGACACGTCAACGGGGAGCATCATCGGGGACCGCAGAACAGCTGCCCACCACGGCTGGACAGCTGGGGACGACGGTCACCGCAGGCTGGTTTCTGTAGGAGACGGAGTGTGGAGAGAGGTGCCGTCACCCGGCGCAAAGCCCGGCTCCGCCCTGCTCCTCATCCTGCCCGTGCACGCGGCCTTGGAGCCGCGGGCGCGCGCCAGCCGCCTGCTGCTCCCTCAGGCACGGTTGGTCACTTGGCTGGTGGCAGCGTTGCTGCCGAGCCCTCTCCAGGCACAGAAGCTGAAGAAGGTGCTGGCCCCGTAGGCCACCATCACGAGGCAGGCGAAGAACTGGAAGAGAGGAGGCGCGGCGTGAGCGCGGCGGCCGCCCCGCCGCCCGGCCCCGCGCGCTGCCCGTGCTTACAGCGGCCGCGGCTCTCCTGTTGTAGTCCCACTGGCGCCACGACGTCGGCTTGATGGCCGCGGAGCACGTCACGAAAGCCGTGATATACAGCACGGTGGCCGTCGCGTTGAAGATCAGTAGCTGGGGAGGGCAAAGAGAAGGTTACGAGGCCCGAGCTCCATGGAGCACCGATGCCTTCCATAAAGCAAGGCCAGGGTTGTTGGCATCTCTATCTGTGAAGTTTCCAAGCAGCTGAGGGCCAGAATGAAACAAGGTCACGGGCAAAGTGCAGAGGACTTCCTCACGTCAGCTTTGAGAGGAGCAAGTCCAAGACTCGGTCTCCTCATCGTGCTTACCACGAGGGGCCAGGGAACGATGTGGAATTTCAAGTGAAGCTGCAGCAGGTAGATCACCAAGAAAATGACCGTCAATATCCAGAAGAAGATGGCCACGAACATGACCCAGCCGTAGGCTGCGTGGAGGTAGTACGTCGTGTCAGCAATAAGAGCCCACGTCAATAAGCCAAGCACCTGCAGGGTAGAAAGGGGAAAGTGCTCAGGGTTGCGGTTGCCCGAAATGCACAAAAACGGGGCTGGCACCATCCCCCGGTTGGCGAAGTGAAACTGTTGCATGCAACGTTGTCCAAGCTGGACGTCCTCCAGAGGACGGGGCGGTGACTTTGAGAGGCGGGTTGTGCTGCTCACTGGATTTGTCTGCCACGGGATGCGTTTCCTCCGGGCTCTGCGTGGTGCCTTTGGTTCTCTGCTGCCCGGAGGCTCCCACGGGGCTCATCCCCCGGCACTGCAGCCCGCGCGGTGCCGCGCTGGCGGCCAAGGCAGGGAGCCCGGGGACGCCGGGGCCGGGCCCACGGCGGGGCAAGCACCAGCCGGGCGGGAGCATCCTCCCTCCACCTGCTGAAGGTGACACGAGGACAACGTCCCTCCCCGGCGCGGGTGTCCCCTTGTGGTGGCAGACCCAAGGACTGCGTCTCCCACCCAAAACGGTGCCTTTCTCAACACGCTTTGGTTAGGTCCAGGCTGCTCCGTTTGGGTTTAGCCATCCCGCATAAAGGACAGTAAGAGTTTGTCTTTTGCAGGTAAACAGGTTTCCTTACGTAGCAAGTGGGGTGTTAGGTGCCTGCAAGCTGCTTCCAGGGGAACCAGGAAAAAGGCAGGACACAAGCCCCTTATTTCCAGCATGCAACCAAAAAAAGTCAGCAGAGAAACAACTCCTAGCCCTTGTTCAAGTGCCACTAAAAAAGGAGATTTTTGGGGTGTCTGTCTGGGGTGAAAGATGCAGCTGATCCTCCACAGCGCCACGACCATCTGCTGTCCCCCAGCACCCTTGGGTGCTGCCCCTGCCCTCCTGCTGCCTCGCCGACGAGAAGCAGCATCTCGAGGCAGCCCCGTCTTGGACCTCAACCTCTCCAGCACCAGGACCCTCTCCTTCATCCCTGTTCGCCCTCTCCTTCGGGAAGGCGGCTGCGTAACTGATTAACGCGTCCTCCCGAGGCTGCGCCCGCTCTCGATCCCTGGACTCCGGACCTTGGCAAGGAGGTGCCGGGCGCGGCGGGAGCCGCCGTGGCGGCCCGGCCCGCAGGCTGACGCAGGCCGCACAAGGGACACTGTGTGACACCGTGTGACGCGCGGTGCCCCGCGGCCGCCGCCGCGCTCCGCACAATGCCGCCTTGTCTTCCCTCGCGTCCATGCAAACTCCTGTGTTTGCAGCGTGGGGAGAAACTCGGATGGGGGGAAAACCCCCAAAGCCACCCAGGGCGCTGGCACGCGACCCTGCCGCCCGCCCTGGCACCTGCGTGCGACAGGGCTCTCAGGGAGCGGGGACAGTGCAAGGATGTCGCAGGGCTGCCCCCACGGACCGTGCTGGCCCCGTGGCTCTTTCCTGCCGCATCCAAGAGATTCCTGCACTGCAGTCGCCTTGCCTGAGCCTCGAGGGGAGCCCCTGCACTTCTCACCGTCCCCACGCGGCAGGTTGCACCTCCTGCTAATTAATTAACCCCCTCCTAATTACAGCCCCGTCGCGCCCCCCGGCTCGCGGTACTCACGGCTTCGGCCACCATGAGGCCGCCGAGCGGCGAGAGCAGGAAGGCGCCGT